AATTTACTAACGATTAATACAAAAAATATTATTATTATTATTATTATTAATTATTATTATTAGTATCATTATTATTATTATTATTATTATTTTTATTATTATTATTATCATTATTATCATTTCTATAATTATGTACTCAATGTATTATCATTATTATTATTTCTATTATTATTATTATAATCATTATTATTATTATCATTATTATTATCATTATTATTATTATTATTATAATTATTAATATTATTATTATCATTATTATTATTATCATTATTATTACCATGCTAAGAATGTCAATGGTTGCATTATGTTTAGTGACGTAGGTATTTATCATATTAGAGAACCCCTTATCCGCTGCATAGTGGAGGGGGGTCCAGCCTGCCTAGAATAGAATAGAATAGAACAGAATAGAAGAGAATAGAATAGAATTGAAAATAATAAAATAGGATAGAATAGAATAAAAGAGAAAAGAATAAAAGAGAATAGAAAAAAAGAGAATAGAATTAAATAGAATAGAATAGATAGAATAGAATAGAATAGAAAAGAAAAGAATAGTAAAGAACAGAATAATATATAAGAATAGAAAATAATAGAATAGATCTAATCTTATAAAATGGAAGAACATTGTATAAAATAGAAAAATATGTAGAATAATCTAATAAAAAAGAACAAAGTAGAATAAAATTAATTGAAATAAAATACGAAGGTTTAATATAATTAAATCAAGAACAGTAAAGATGAAAAACTGGTAAAAGGCATACCTTTGTTTTACTGTTTATATACGCATTTTTATTCAACAGCATCTCAGCAATCTCTTCACTTCCAGATTCGGACGCTAGATGGAGGGCAGATCGGGCTTCCTTAATAACATTCCTGTTCATGTTTATGTTCATGTTCATGTCCATGTTCATGTTCATGTTCATGTTCATGTTCATGTTCATGTTCATGTTCATGTTCATGTACTCCCCATGCCTTAAATGTATATTTATAAAAAGCAGCGGTAACATAATCATGCACTTCAAGGGGGGTTCAGGGGGGAATATCAAATATTAAAAATAAATATTTACACGTTTTTATAAATAAATAGAAATCTTTACAAGTTATTTGAACACTTAATAGGCTTGTTCTATTTTCAAAATAATAAGGGACCTTTTTTATTGTACAATAAAAAATATTTTTGCTAAAAAAAAGAGTAAAAGCACCAATCATGACAAATATTAAATAAATAAAATAATTCAATCAATGTGTGCATAATTAGCCTTTTGTCAATCATCAAAAAATTTTAACCGAAAAATCAATCAACAAATTTATCCTTTAGTCAATACATAAAAACAAAAATATAGCAAATAAATAAGCATATTATAAAACAACAACAACAAATAATCCTGGTAAGTTTAAATTAATTAATGAATGAATTACCTGATCAAATACATCAACTCTGGCATTATTATCCAGGAATATCTTGACCAGGTTCATGTGACCGTTCTTAGCTGCCAATAGTAGAGGAGACCAACCAGATCTAGATAGGGAGGTAGGTAGGTGGGGAGGTAGGGAGGTAGGGAGGTAGGGTGGTAGGGAGGTAGGGAGGAAGGGAGGTAGGTAGGTAGGTAGGTAGGTAGGTAGGTAGGTAGGTAGGTAGGTAGGTAGGTAGG